GTCCCTACGGATTCACCTACTAAGGATCTTTCTTATAAATGGAATCACACAAGGGTGGCCTTTTGTGTCTGACTTTTTTCTTTTGGCATAATGTTTTCAAGACTCATTCATGTTGTAGCACTTCATTTCTTTTTGTGGCTAAATAATATCCCACTTATGGATGCACCACATTTTGTCTATATATTCATCAGTTAACAGACACTTGGGTGTTTTCACTTTTTAGTTGCTACGAGTGATAATGGCTTTGAATATTCATGTATAAGTTTGTGTGTGGACACACTTTCATTTCTCTTGAGTATGGCTGTCAAAACTTTAAATATTATGAAAAAAGAACAAACTGTATTTCATTTTATTCTTTGTCACTCATGGAGAACCTACTATGTTCCAAGCATATTTTACATACATAATTTGAATCTTTAAAGTAATTCTTAAGTAGGTGTTATTATCCCCATTTTGAGGCTTAGAGACTCCCAGAAAGTTTTTCTTTTCGCTTATACTTCATCCCGAATATATATTTTTCTTAATTTCTCAGTTTTCTGTTCTAGTACAGCCGAGAGGGACCCTTTTCTCTGCTTCACGAACATCTTGACTGTACAGCAGATGAACAGAAGCAAAGTCCCAGGACCGTGTGGGCAGCTGGAAGTACACAAGGAGTGTCAGGTCTCAGCAGAGGAGCTGGGTGGAGAAGCTGGAACAGGACTCGGATGATTAAACCCTGAGAGGAAGTCCAGCACTGTCTAATGGTGGGGCTGGGTACGTGCCACTGATGTAAACACTCAGTCCTCAGGCCTGGCAGGGCAATGCTGCAGCAAAACATGGAACCTCTGAAAATGAGGTCATGGGGAACTGGAGCCAGTGTGACCACAGAGAAAGCCATAGCCCAAGGACTGGGCTTGCTAAAGGGAGCGATCATTGACAGAAGAACTCTCCGACCAGGAGCTGCTCTAGGTGAGGAGAAGAACTGACTGAATGTAGTGACAGTGAAGGCAAAGTGGTCCCTCAGGTGGAGGGTCAGGAAAAAGCTGAAGGAAATGTCCATGTCCTATGCAGCAAGATTTACTTTGATTTGTTCCTTTCTGGAAACAACTACAGTTAAAAGTGACAGTAAATATTTTAGTTACCCATTGGTCCTGAGTTTTTGACACTACTGTTTAACCACATTCTTAATCAAATAAAAAGTATGAAGTCAGCAGATATGGCTCTTCTAACAACTAGTTCTATAATCATAATGAATTTACTTGAACTGAGTCTTGTTTGTCCATCTGTAAAATGGGGCAATAACATCTGCTGCATCTAACTAGCTTACTGGATTATGTTGGTTCCTCACAGCCACGACATGTGAAGGAGCTTTTAAGAACATTTTCTCTGTAAGTTGGCCTTTCCCTGGCTGTCTCCAACACACACACACAGACACACACACACACACACAAATAAGAAATAAAATGCTTTGTTAAATAGGTTCTTAAGACACATGCGGCAAAGTTCAACATGCGCATTTAAGGTGACAAAAACCAGAATTACCACAGTCTATTAAGAATAAAAGACATAGCCGGGCTCGGTGGCTCAGCCTGTAATCACACGCCTTTGGGAGGCTGAGGTGAGCGGATTGCCTGAGCCCGCGGGTTTGAGACCCACCTGGGCAGCGAGACCTCATCTCTACAATAAATCAAAAAATCAGCCAGGCGTGGTAGCGCATGCCTGTAATTCCAGCTACTCGGAAGGCTGAGGCGGAAGGAACGCCAGAGCCCAGCAGGTCGAGGCTGCGGTGGCCGGGAGTGGCCACTGCACTCCAGTATGGGCTACAGAGTGAGACTCCAACTCAAAAAAAAAAAAAGAATAAAAGACATACATACCCATTGAAACAGATAAGTTGAAAGAACAGCACAGCAAAGATTGCTAATTATCTCAATATCAGTTCTTCTCTTCTTCCCTAGTAATAGAATTTTTAGTTAACCTGTGACCACCAGCCTAAAGAGTAGACTGTGAGCTCCACGAGAGCAGGGATATTTGTCTTTTTTGTTCATTGCTCTATCCCTAGTGCTTAAAAGAGTGCTTAGCAGCATGTGCTCATCAAATACTTGCTGACTGGTTCCTTTCTCTTCAGATGCCTAACCTAATAAGAACTATAACCACACCTGCAAAGTTATCTCGGTTAAACACACCTTGGCTACGCATCTTCTCTGTGCCAGGGATCATAGCATCTGCTGAAAAACAATCCCTTGTCACTGATGTGGAGGTATGCTCAGTTTCTCACAGTTCAACAGGAAAGGCAGTTGTATAAGTAATACCTGTAATTAGGTATGATGTTGGCGAGGGTGGATCTGTAACAAGGTCTCCAGGTGCTACAGAGGAGACAGTGGGTGGAAGCAATGGGAGCAACTTCTAGAGGCTTCTTGGAGGATGAGAGGCCTGAGCTGGGACTTGAAGAATGAGCAGCTATTGAGGGAAGGTAGAAAGAAGAACATTCCAGAAGGAGGAACAACACGTGTGGAGGCAGAGAGGTATGAAACTGTCTGATGTGTTTGTGGAACTACATGTAAACATGTTGGGCTTGGACTTAGAGGGTGAGTGTCTGCAGGGTTTCAGGGATGATGCAGCTGTTGGAGATGGGGTAAGTGCAGGAGGTAGTGAACAGCTGTGCCCCGTCTTCCTGGACCCCTAGCACCTTGCCTTGCCTGAAAAAAATGAATTGGTGAATAATTCTCTGAAATCATATATTTTCCCGGATTGTAATACGCATTGCCTTTAGCATGAATTTATTCTTTGACTTCCTCAAAGGAAATGCTCAAAATACACGAGTGCTGGCTCATTGATTCCATTATTCCATTTTTATTTACATGTTCAGCTTCCGCAAAGGCTGGGTTTTCTGGGAAAAGTGTAATTTCTCACATTCCAACTCATATTCTTTATAACTTCTTTTTTTTTTTTTTTTACCTCCCAGACCATGTGTCCAAATTTCTCATTCAAAAACTGTGCTTGGTGTATTGTAAACACTTAGTATATACTTGTTGATTGACTAAGATAACAAATCAATCCTTGCATAAATTAATGACACAAATGAAAATAATGGTAGCCATATTTATTAAGGGTCTATCACTTAATTAAAAGAAGCAGTACATCTATAACAATAATAGAAAGCATTTTTATTATTAAAAAAGACATTAAATGTTTCCCTGCTATAGTACTTGTTTCCCCATTGGGAAAGTAGGGCTAGAAACATGAACAGAGAGAAATGTCCCATTTATAAACTGAATTCAAGGCTGTTTTCCCACAGAGTAACCCAGAATGAGAACTTGGCTCTGACTAACAAAAAATTTCAGTCCGGTTCATCACTATTACCCAAAACCTGTTGTCTTGGTTCCAGTAACAACATGCTTGACCAGCTCAAGAGAGAGAGGAATATGTTCGCCTTGAATTTACCTGCTTTGAGAGGTTTGATGTTTGGCCTTCCCAAATCACTTGATTTGTGGTTTATTTATATGGTGGGGGAGTGGGAAGATTACTTTTTCGCAGGTGTTAGATACATGCTCATATCCTGTTCTCACACTCACTGTCAAATTGAAGAGTCCCAAGACATATTTTTGAGGAGTTCTGAGTTGTTTTATTTAGTCATGGTGTCAGGGCAAACAGGAGGCTATACTGGTGGTAATTTTTTCCCCCCAATTCTATTATGGAAAACTACTGTCAGAGAGAAGGAACACTGTGTGCTCCTAACATTTCCAGGGTCCATGTGCCTTTGTCACATGCTACTGGGGAGGGAAATGTGCACAAATACACAGTTCACAAATGTGTCACTACTATGTTTATGACTCACTACACTCTTGCAGGGAGGGGAGCAATGACAGCAAGCCTCGACTAAGCACTCACTCCCTGCCAGGCACTAAACTAGAACTCTAGTAACATCTCATTCAATCCTCAAAATAACCCTATGATGCAGTATTCTTATTATCTCCATTAAACAGATGAGAAAAATCAGGTCCAGAGAAGCAACACAGCATGCCCAAAGTCTCAGAGGTAGTAAGAGTTGGAGTCAGATGTGAGTCACACAGCTGGACTTGTGACTGTTCCATCAGCCACTACTCTAAGAGTCTTATTTTGAAACTGTGTTTTGGAGTGAAGTTTAAAGCAGAAGGAAATATTTTTAAAGATGGTAGAAGATAAATTGTAATTCTGTATTGAAAGTGCTAGATGTATCAGCAGGCTTAATGTCATCAGAAAATTGCTGCAGCCACAGGGCATTTGAGTTATCATGGAGTCCCCATGGGTCACAGGCCATTTTTGCGCCTCTGGAAAAAACATAGTCAACCAGGCACTCATAATTTTCAATAATGTCTTGATGAGCGAATGACTTATAACAATAACTGATACCTTGCACTCTTTAATGTTTCTCAAAACTTTCAGTTAACTGGCATGTCGCTTCTCTAACAGGTTGGCTTAAGGTTCTCTGCCTTCACTGTGAATGGAGAAATAGGGTTTAGGAAAGAATGACTGAGACACTATCCTTTAAGAAGCCCGCTCCAGATTTCAACTGGCAATGCTGAAAGATAGGACAAGGATCCTGGGCTCAAGATTACCAAGGTGCTCAAACCTTCTTCAACCTTTTCAAATGGGTCAAATCTTCTGACCATGTTTTATGGTATTACATACCTCTTCTTTCTAGTACTTCTCAGAGTTGCAATTCTACATTTATCTCTATGGTATTGAATAATTGATTTCTTCTATTCTGGTCCGTAGGCTCCACAAAGGCAGGAATATGTTTGTTTTGGCTCATCAGGGCATCCTCAAGCCCAGGACAGTGCCTGATGGTGACACTGAGTAAAGGGTTTCTAAATAAATAGCTGAATGCAAAAACGGTGTCTTCATCTTTAAAAAAAAATCACCAAATATTTCGACCGTGCTTTCTTTAACAGTAAAAGTGAAACACACAATCAGATAAGGATGGGGACGTATCTTTTGGGGCACTTCCTTTCAGTTTCATTGTCCACATCTAGAAAGTTTACCTTTCATGTGGGCCCTGGAAACGGAGTCAGGTGCTGTTTGGCGTTGAGCTGCTGAAGACCTGAGGGGAGTCCAATAACCTGTTTAGGAGGAAGTGGGGAATCAATTGTTTTGAAGGCAGCACCCAGGAAACATTTGGCCAGGGCAGAGCTCAGGCAAATACAATTGCAGTCGATGGTAAATATGGAAACAGGAGAGTCATTTTTCTTCCTGGCTTTCGTTAGGGTGTGTTTTTTAGGCCAAATTAGAAATCCAGCAAGAGACTGGCACTCGTTGTTATAAGCAGAGTCCAGCTCCCGTCAGTGCAGAGAGAAGGCTGAAACCTCCCTTTCAGACCCAAAAGAGGGCCCAGTGGCTCCCCCAGGACCAAGCAGGGCAAAGGTAGTTCTCACTACTCTTCCTTCCCCAGGTCAAGCCATGTCCAAGGCATGCTTTGGTCTTTAGCTGCCACCATGTTCTTCTGGAGAAAACATGAGAAGGAAACCAACAGTGTCCAACATTCAAAGTTCACTTCCCTAGATTCTCAACTAAGTGTTCAGTCACCTTTGTAAATTATCTCATAACATGCCATTGGTAAAGTTCTTATTTTCATTTTCACATGATAATGTTTAGAGAAGGAACTAGTCACTACCAGAGCCAGACTGGAACTCACTGACCCAGGTTTCTTCAGTAGAGGATCCAAGAGGAGACAATATTTTTTGTCAAGACTGTTATTTATATGAAGACATAACAGAAGCCCTTTGGTGCAGTGCAGCTCTCAAGTCAAGGATTCGGTAAAATCACACGCATTTTTCTCCTTTAATTTTTACAGCATCCTGGGAATGTAGGTATTCTCCCCATCTTGTGGATGAGAAAACAGTCACAAAGCTAGTAAGTCACAGACACAGGATTCAGGCCTAATTAACCTGCAAATTAAAGGTGAATTTTCAAAAGCAAAGAACGGAGATTTCCTTATGATGAGGTCTTAAGGATAGCAATAAAGAAATAGCTGCATCAAATCAAGGATTTTATATTTAATCAGACTTTTTAACAATAGAAAACTGTAAAGTGACTGTTCCTGTTTCTCACTTGAGATAGAATTGCAATAAAGTGATTTCTGAAGTCCTTCAGCTATTTAATCCTAGCTAAATTACTTTATATTTCTAATCCTCAGTTTCTACATTTGTATTGTTGCAAAAACTAAAAAATGGCATAGGAAAAGAATAAATTTATCAGAAAGAAACTATGACTGAATACATATCACTTTTTAATACGTAAAATCTCCAAACTTATGTAGCAAAAAATTTCAAGTAGCTCATCAATAAAAGAAATAAGTTTTATAATTCAATAAAAGGCATTGATTCAGTGGGAAAAAAAATCTCCCAAAGAATTTTTTAAAATCTAACTTATTGACAAAAGTTTTTGAACTCCAAATCTATAATGACAATTACAAATATATATAATATCTGAACATGGAAGAACAAAAATCTCAAGTAAAACCTTTGCAAAGTAGAATACAACATATGTATTAAACTGAGTAAAAGACATATCCACATGAGTTAGCTGGGGGTGGGGGTACAGGGGACAGGACGGAGTCCCTAGGCATCTTCTAGAACTTTCTTCAAGCAGGACAGTCTACCAGTGAAGGCTTAGCCTTGCAAATCCAGAGTCACGTCAGACCAGCAAGGGCTCAAGCATTTCTCATATTACTACCTTGCAGGTTTGTTTCCAAATGGTGTGTATTTTTTTTAATTATTATTTTTCTAAGGAAACCTTATGGGTTTTCTTCACAATTTTTTCATTTAATATCTCAATTTACTTAAAATATCTCAATTACCTTAATATATGTAAGTTTAGTGTCTTCATTTATACTCTTTTCATTGTACTTTTATGAGCCTATTCTAATTTATTATTTTTCTCTATTCTTATTTTGAATCATAATTTTTCTTTAGAAATAATTTATAACTCTTTTTATTAGGATTGTTTTTATTCCTAACTTTTTACTCCTTGTTTCCTGCCCTTAATTTTCAATGCAAAAAATGTTTTTAACTTTTCAGACTTATTGAGTGTTGTTTTCATCTGAATTATCTCATTAAACAAATCTTATGTTTCTTTTATTTTAGATATTATAGTCTTCATTTTTAGACCTGTCCTAAATGGTTTGACCTCCATTGCCTCATACCTCAATGCCTCCATGAGAGAGACAGGCCATAAATGTCAGGAAATTAACAACTTTGCTCTAAACAGCAGCAGGACCCCCATGATGGGAGTTTTATTTGTACTTTTGATAAACCCTCAGGGAAATCACCAGCTCTGCGACCTGTGTCTGTGATTCCTTCAGGCTAGCAGAAGAAAATATATATAAGAAAGAAAATGCAGAAAGCTAAAACTGGTAATGTTCAGTAGATACTAAAAGCCGGAATGTCCATCTAAAGATACGGTGATTTAAAGGTGCAGACAGTGATTGGGTTTCAGTGCTCAATAAAGAGGACCAAAAATCAGGACCAGTGAGACAAAATGGAGAGAAAACTCCAGGAGGTTACAAGAAGGAAAACCTAGTTCAAAACATTTTTTGGACTCTGGAGCTCTGAAAAGAGAGTTTTTTCTGCCAAGTTCTCTCTCCTCAGACAAAATAAATGCTTTGACATTCCTGCAGGCTCTGGGAGTTCTCCGCCTTGTGAACAAACGCCTGCCTGCCTAGGGTTGGGTATCTGTTTGCTGACTCGCTCATCTGCCTTAAAATCTCAGCACACTGGCCTTCCCTAAACACAGAGCTAGGCGCTAATTAGATAAGGCTGTAGTTCTCTCTCAAGTGAGAAACAGATGGTCTGGCCAGGCAGCATGTGTCTGAGATCCCAAGAAAGCAAATACTACATGAACTGAAGGAGATGATCTATTACGAACAGGGTGAATATGCACACAGAGGGCACTGCCACTCAGGCAATATTAACTACTTAGACCTTTTTTACAGTCTAGATGTATCTTTGAGAGAATTTCAGTAGTATAGAGCCCAAGTCAAGGAGTCAATATATATTAGATGAATGAATGAACAAATGAATAAACAAGTTCATGGCATGGGTCAGGAGCAAGCAGTAGAAATGTCTCTAACGAACAAGAGGCTTGGGGTCTGGGGCCAGGCCCACCATCAACCTAATGTAGATTTTTTTTTTTTTTTAGAGAGATGGCATCTCACTCTGTCACCCAGGCTGGAGTGCAGTGGTACAATCATAGCTCACTGTAGCCTTTACCCCCCAGGCTCAAGTGATCCTCCAGCCTCGGCCTCTCAAGTAGCTGGAACTACAACCATGAGCCACCACACCCAATTAATTTTTATTTTTTGTAGAGACAGAGTCTTGCTATGTTTCCCAGGCTAGTGTGGAATTTTGAGCAAATAAATTTACCATTCAAATTTATATTCTGTAAGAGAAAAAACTACGTTTTGTTTAGCAGAGTTGTTGTAAAGATAAACATAAAATTAAAAGATTCATTGGAAAGTATTATATGAAGGTATAACATCATAAATTGTTATATTTCTTACTATAAACTATATTCTGTGAGTGTATGTAGCATGTTTAAACGAATGGCAAATGAACACCTACCAACTAGCTTAAGAAGTAGGTATCTTTGAAGTTCCCTTCATACCTTCCCTAGTTACTCCTCCTCCTCCCTTCTCTCAGCCAATAATCCTAGTCTGAATTTTTGGTTTTTAATTCCTTTGCTTTTTGTTATATAAATAGACTCATACTGCACGCATTTTCTGTGACCTTAATGTTGACTTTGAAATTCAGACACGTTGATGCTTATATCTATGGTTAATACATTCGTTGTCAATGCTGTAATGCTTCACTCTATTAGTATACTATTATTTAATGACTTATTTGGCTGTCAATGGACATTTAGGAAAGTTCCAGATTTTTGCAATTACAAACAATGCTGCTATGACCTTTCTTGCATGTACCTTCTGGTATATATGAACAATGGTATACTTGGGGAGTGGAATTCCTGGGTCATAGGTCTGAGCATGTTCAATTTTACTACAGAATGCCAAATTGTTTTCAAAGTAGTTGCACTAGTCTATACTCCCATCAGCAGTATATGCAAATTCCTGTTGTATATCACCAACAATAACTTGGTATGTTGTCAGATTTAAAAATTTTTGCCATCCTGACTGGTAAGAGGTGATATCTCCTTCTGATATTCATCTACATCTCTTTATTACTGATCAGGTAGTGAAATGTTTCATATATTTATAGTCATTCTTGTTTCCTCTTTTGTGAATACCTATTCATGTTTTTGTCCATTTTTCTATTAGGTTCTTTGATTTTTCTTATTTATTCATAAAAGCTCTTTGTTTATTATCAATACTATTAGTCTGTCAGTTACAAAAAAGAAGGCCCTCAAAATACGAGGGGCAGGAGGGCAAAAAACCTGGAATTATCTTTTGAAGGGTAGACTCATATTACAGGTTCCCCCCAAAAGGTTAGTGTTCTAGGAACCCATGGGCATCAATGTACCAGCATATAACCTATTGTTATGAAGGAAGTCAACTGGAATCTCATAGAAATATTCTGTCTCTCTTATAACATCCCATGAAATTCCCTATTCTGTGCTTCTTACCCCTGAGTCATTACAATTAGTAGGCGAAGAAGGAAAATCAAATCCTTAGTTATAGTTAAGAATATCTCACAGGTTTAATGGTTTGGGCTTTATGCTTCTCTGGCAGAAAATTTTACTTCTTTATAAGATTCTTCCAAGTAGAGCCTTTGAATGACAGAGTCTAAGCCATCTGGTCGTGCTACCCGATGCTACTATTGTATCCTCCCCCATACTATTTTAAAGACATAATTTTCCCATTTCACAGCTGCTGAAAGCAAACATTAGACTACCCGAAATTTGTGTTGGGAGCTAGCCCAGTGCTCCCAGTCTGTCCATCCTGGGCTCTGTCTGGGCTTGTCTTATAGGCTGTGCTCCTGACACCAGCAAGGTTTGAGGGAACGGGCCCCTCAGCAAACAGGGTCCACTCAGCCTGGAGTGGACTGCTGCTGTCAGGTGATGGCTGCCCCAGGCTGTGAGAAGAAACCTGGGTTGGACTCCAGGCCTGC